CAGGATATCATAAACTCTACCTGTATCTGCTACCCTAACAAAATGCCCAACTAGCTACTGCCTAAGGACCACTTATAACCACCAAGTAGGATGGAATTTCCCATCTTCTATGTAAGAATCCTTCCACATAGAAAGCCAGTTTTTTCAATCTTTTCCCTCTCAGTTCCATAGCTTCTAGCATATCTGTTCCTCTTATATAATCCCTTTCTACTACTCTAGCTATTCCAAGATCCTGAAATTTACTAAAGGAAATGTAGAATCCAAACTTCTGCTTCTCTTCCTCCATTCATTTAACCAATTTCCACCCTTTTGCCCCCTGATGTTTCCAACTTACAGTTATAAAAAAGACTGCTGCACTGAGTAGGCGTTTGAGCCCCATGACATTTAAAGTCCCTTCCAACTCTAAAATTTAAGACTACCATTCGTAGCAAGCTTTAATAATGAATGGAAGTAAGAATCTCAGAGTTGAAAGAACAATGATTCACCCAGTTATCCTGTAACTGGTGGGAAAAATTCATTAAAATACTGATCTCAATATTTCTTTTTTCCTTCAGTAATTCTTTTACTTCCTTAAAAAGGGTTCCTTGATTCTAAAATCTTTGTTTTTTAAAAAAAGAGGTTGAAAATGGTAAAATATGTTCATAGTGATTAAAATACTCTTTACTTCTCAATTTTAGCTTTGAGGTTTTAAGAAGTTTTAGTATCAACAGCTTTTACTGCTCCTGATTCCTCAAAAGCCTGGCTTGTTCATGAAACTCGAACCAGACCCTACAGAAGCAGGGAGGGAATAAAAACAAAGAGAGGGGGATGGTAGGCAGTTGGGCAAGAGGAGAGCATTGGCTTTGCCTCACCTAACCCTAACTAGGAGCAAACACCCATTTTGCTGGGTAGCAAATGGTTAATTTTTTCCTAGTGTTTTCAAACAAAAGTGATTGGGTATAGGAGGCTCAACATAATAAAAAGTTGGAGCCTGAATAATTTCGGCTAAGTGAAACATAAAATGGGAGAAAACCCACCTGCATATAGAAACCCTATGTAATGCCTAGTATTTGTTAATACATGATTTTAACCTGTTCTTCTAAATCATATGTGGTATAACCTTCTTTTAAGCTTCTATTACATTCCACTGAAAATATAACACTCTCCAAGAATAACATGGCAATCCATTTATAAAATATACCAAGGGCCCCAGGGAATATCAAACAGTTATTCTATCACACAAGAAATCAGTCTGACCCCTATTCCCATCAACAAAATTGAATCACTTCTTGCTTATTACCATTCTCTTAGCTTTTATAACAAACATAATTTATAGGTGATACCATTTTCAGCTCTTTTTGTAAAAGTATCCCAACATTTACCAAGTCTCCCAAGGCAGAGATTTTAATTCTGAGGCATTCCCTGAAGGAGGATTTCCTTTGAGACAAGAACACATAACATTTCCAAGTGGGTCCTTGGGCTGTTTTTAAAGACAAGGCAGAAAGAAGAGCAGACATTTTTAAGGTATCATCCTGTCATCTCAAGCTTCTCCATAGCATTCCTCTAGGCTCCCCTCCTTTTTTCCAAACTAAGTAATCCCTGTGTTCATCATCTTTCAAAACAAAAAACAAAAACCACATGACTTGTATAAAGTTCTCTGTACACTCCTTGGTTTTCTGTGACCTTTTGTGCTAAAGTTAAGATCTCCTTTAAGAGAAGAGAAGCAGAAATCTGCATGAACAACTCCACTTCTTTTCTATTCTCTACCTTTCCTATAATCTGCTTAAAATCCTTCCTGGCATCCTTCACCTTCGAGTGCTCTCATTTTGGATACGGGTCTACAACCAAACATTTATGCTGTCACTTTCACTCTGCTCTTAGAAAGGCAAGAAACTGCAGCCTGGTAATAATTCAACATAAGCATTCAAAATTAAACAGGATTTTAAAAATTATCTTCTATTTTCTCTAATCCCATACTGAAATTCATGTTTTATAAAGTTATACTCCTAGATGAATCAGGAAGCAATATTCTATCAATTTCTTGATTGTGTGAGAAGACACGGAGTCTATAAAACGCAGGAATACTTTGCAGCCTCCTAACATCCTGGTTACACTTACTCCCCTTGAATATTTCAGAAACAGTCTATTTGGTACCCACATTCATCACTGCTGAAAAGTCAGAAAACACTCTGTTCCTTTGGAATTTTTCTTTTCCTTCATCTTAAGGACTTCTGAAAGGAACCAGAATAATGCTGGAGAAGGGATATGTTCATGGGCAGGAGAGACCCATGGAGAATCAAGGGGGGAATACCAAGCAGCCTGGCTTCAGCCACACGTCAGCATCTCCCGCAGCCACATTTCTGAAAGATGCCCAACCACTTTTTCAACTTATGTTATACTCAATCTCCTTTCCACACAGGATGCCTCCAAGAGAAGTGCAGACTTTAGGCAATTTGTGAGCTCTGTGTACTCATCAGTTGATCTATACTTAGAACCCGCATAAGCCTGAAAAGGTATGTAGCAGCTAAAGGGATTAGTAACCCCTAGGATGCAAACAAATAACCTTCAGGCACACTAAGAACAAACTAGTGCAGTTTTATAAAGTACATTCTTAATGGAGTTCCAGAGGACACACACTCTAGAAAAGGTGGAGGAGGGGAAACAGCTTTAAGTTCACTTTCAGACTGTAGTTCAAAAAGACTAAGCCATGGGTAACAAAAGCACACCAGCAATCTTGCCCACTCTACCCACCCACATATACAAACACAGACACAAAGAGAAGTGAATTGCAATGCTCCTCCTAGCCTCTCATTTCCAGTTTTCATAAAAAGATCAATGAGGAAGACAGAATATTCTGATGCCTTGAGGTACCTTGAGGTATATTATAGTTGGCAATAAAGGGGTTAAGCAGCACTACTTTCCTGGAAACTTTCCAACCCCTTGCAGTAAATGCAGTTCTCCTCCCTACCTGTGCTACATTTTTAAAATTTATCAAGTTAAGGGTTAAGACCAACACCTCAGAAGGAAAAAGGGAACTTGGTTCAGCTCCACCCTCTCTAAAGCAAATATCAACAACTCTGAGCCAAATCCACTCAGCATATACAAGACTTCACTGACATTCCAAAAAACAGGTGAAAAGAAGTGGTTTTCCCAGGTATCTCACTTTTCAGCACCACTTACACTTAGTAGATTTCACAAATCCTGAAGCACACAAGTGTTAGATAAAACAAAAGCCCATATAAAATTCTATTAAGGACTTGAAAAACATTTACAAGCCACAGAGGTCACTATAAATCAGCAGGAATAACTGGAATTGGGTGAGGAGGGTGAAACAGTTCGCATGGAAACTAAATCAAAACAAAAAGATACTGAAACAGAAGGAATATGGGCCCTGGATCTTCAGTCTTAGAAAGAAAGCGCTCTACCTAGAGGGTCAATTTTTTATCCTAAAGAAACAGAGAGAAATGCTGCTTTAGTTACCATGGGGGGCAGGTCATTACTACCAATAATCTTACATTTCCAGGGAGGGGGGTGTTCCACCAGATGAAAACAGACAGTTACTGACAGCCTGTAAGTCACTGGAAAGGGCAATCCAGAAGCACCTGTCTTGCTAGAAATATGCAAGAAGAGATGAGTCACTATTTTAATTCTGTTTAGTACTCTTCACATTTCAACCCTCTAGGTCCCAAAGCAACATTTTCTTCCTGATTCTATCACTTTATCAATTTCCCCCCAAATTTATGGATCGGTCAGGGTGCTAAGGGCTGGAGGTAAGAGAAAAGAGAAAGGAAGGGGGAAGAGTTAGAACCCATTAGTTTAGTAGAAAGAGCTCCTGGGATGGGGGTGTAATTACCTGGAAGAGAGGACTAAATAACTAGCATTACAACTAGCAAATGATTATTAAGATCCAAGACCCTTTCCCTCTCTTGGACAGTGTTCCATAACTTTCAAAGCTTTTACAGTAAAAAGCAAACAAATGGCTCCCTGGAGAGAGGGATAAAAAGGTTCAGTGTGAGCCAGGGTAATGAAACATGACAGGGTTACATGAATATCAATATTCCTTCAGATTCCAATTGGAAGTAATGGGCACCTGAGGAAAGCTATACTTTTCTACAGGTAGGAAAAGGGATGCCAGTCATGTTGGGACACAGGAGGTGGCAGAAGAGTTGAGGAGATGGTTATCATGGGAAATGTAAAGAAAGCAATTCAATCACTCAAACTTCTTGGACTTGCAGTCTAACTTCCTCCCCATGGCGGAGGTTTGTCACCATTCTAGGTCAAGAAGGGCATAATCATGAGAAGTCCTAACCTCCGAAAAGGGATAAGCAACAGGGTAAAGTGACAGGTTCTCTGGACAGAGAAACACTGGGAAGAAAATTAACGTCATGCCCAACGACCACAGGAACCCATTCCAGCAGTCACAAGGACAAACGTCCAAGGGAGGAGGGAAGGTAGGGCCCAAGTCAGGTAACATTCCTGAGAGGAAGGGTTATTAGGTGACACCCGGCTGAGGGCCCAGAGAGGACCGGGCGGGAGCAAAGTTTGCAGGTTGAAAGCAATCAGTCTTGGGGAAGGAAGTGACCTTTAGGAGAAGCCAATAAAATACCAAAAAAGAGGGGGAAGAAATAGAAAATGGACTCAGAAAAGCACCGTGGACCAAGATAGAGAAGGCGTGTCCGGGTAATAGAGGAAGAAGAAAGGAAGTGGAGCTGAGAGGAAAGAGATGGGGCTGAGACCCGCCCGGGCTCTGGGGGCGAAGGGCAGAGCGTGCGGGCTGGGGGGTGAAGGAAGCTCCGAGGTTGCGGGGGCAAGAGCCGGGTGGGACTCCGGGGCTTCCCGAGGTGCTGGAGGGGTAGGGGGTCGGGCTGTGGAGCCCAGGACCCAGCCAAACGAGGAAAGGAGGCGCGGGGGCGTCTCCCTAAAGACAGGCGTGCATCCCTCGGGCCGACTGCGGGGATCTCCGGGGTCCAGACGGCGGTTACCCGGCAGGGCTGAGGAAATGGGGTGGGAAGGACACTCACAAATTTCTTGGATTTGCCGCCGTCGCCGCCCGCCGCCGGCAGCTCGTCCGGGCTCCGGCCCTTCTTCTTGTCCCGGGACCCTCGGCCGGGTCCCAGGCTCCCG